GAATTCGTTCCCCACTTCCCATGGGCAGGCAGGTGTTCAGCCATCTCCAGGAAAACAGGGCTCCAGCACGCTAAGTAACAGTGACTTGGGAAGACAAATGCCATCACTCCAAAAGTCCCCCCCCTCCTTCTTCTTCCCCCACTTGTATATGCTGAGCATGAAATCATCTGGTCTGGAATATCCCTGTGGTCAGCTGGGGTCAGCTGTCCCAGCTGTGTCCCCTCCCACCTTCTTGTGCCCCCCCAGCCTCCTTGCGGGTGGGGTGGGGTGAGGAGCAGAAAAGGCCTCGGCTCTGTTTAAGCACTGCTCAGCAGTAAGGAAAACATCTCTGTGTATTCTACACTGTTTCCAGCACAAATCCAAAACACAGCCCCATACTAGCTACTTATGAAGAAAATTAACTCTATCCCAGCCAAAACCAGCACAATGTGTTGCTCTGGGAAAGAGTGGTAAGATGTGAAGCACTATCAGTTCAGATATTACTCTATAGGCAGTGGTGTGTTTCTCTTCAGTTTCCCTGGAATGAAATGAGTCCTTTTTGCCATCTAGCTGTCGAAAGGCTATTTTTCAGCACAGATCATCTTTGATTATTCCTGATTTGCTTTAGGATGTGTCAGTGCTATTGTGGCTTTCAGTCCTGAGTTGTTAAGTGAAGTTGTGGCACTTTAAAACCAACAAAAAAACATTAATTTTGCTTGCGGTGTAAGACCTGATCCCCAGCGGTGCTCAGGCTTCTGTGGGAGGATACAGGAGTTTCGGGCACACAAGTGCCTGATGCGTACATCGTACTTTAGACCCAAGTTTAACCTCTGGACGATATTAGTTGTTGAATGAGAACTGGATGTAGAAAAGAACATTTGGGGGTGCAGCAGCATCAGGCCCCTGTGCATTGCAAAGCTTCGGGACCCTCCACAGCCAAGGCGCCGGGGCCGTGGTGGGGCATTGGACAGAGCGAGGGACTGATACGGGGTGCTCAAGGTGGGCTGAGCTACCCGTGCGCTGTGCCGTAGGCCCCTGAGGTGCCACGTAAAGCAGTTCTTATTCAAAGTTTTATCAAAGTATGACATGAAGCGTGCTCTCCTCCAGGAATTTTAGGCAGCTCTTGAGTTCCTGAGGTCGAGCTCTTTCCAAGCAGTCGGGTTTTCTACCCTTCTCACTTCCATCGAAAAGAGGGGCTTGAGCCTCAGGGGCTTCAGTGTTAGAAAACATCTTTCTGGTCTCTTGTTTTCATGGGCATTTGTGTTTGAGTTTAAAAAGCTCTTTTTCTTTGGAAGATGCAGTCCAATCCTCTCTTCATTCCTCTGGCCATCTTCTGTCCCTGTTCCCCTTTGACAGCAGGTGACTGGCACTGGCGCCCAGGAGCATCAGTCCCTCATACGCTGGAATTTAGCTGCCAGGGGCCACCACTGCCCCAGGGCTGGTACCAGCGGTCCCAGGGCTGGCGGCGGTGCTGAGGGTGGCACTGGGCTCCAGGCTCTGCCCTGGCGCTTTGGGGAGTCTGTGGGCTTCACCCTCTACAGCTCAGGCACGCGGTCCTGACCCTCATCATCCCAGAGCAGAGAGGCTTAGACCGAGATAAACACTTGGCTTGTGAAAAAGGATGTTGTTACTGTAAAAAGAAGTGTAAAAAAGGGGAGTTTAACCTGCCAGCAGGCTGGGAAGAGGTTTGAGGTGAAGCCCTGGGGCTTCCCCTGCACCTCTCCTGGATTGACCCTTAATCCCACCCTGGGCACCAGCCCGGTCCTCACCAAGAGCTTTGCAGCTCTGCTGACAGCGTCTTCTCCCATTAGACTGCTGAGGTGCCTCACAGACGTGGTTAACGTGCAGCCCCTCGGAGCTCTATGTGCACATACTGATTATTGGGATTTTATTTAAGTTCTGACAATGAGGCTTCACATTTGTGATCAGCCTGGTAGCTCCACTCAGCAGCTGTGCTCATGGGCCAGGTGAGCCCATGCTGGGCCGTGGTACGAAGAGGACTGAGCTCATGGGGAAGCACAAACTGGCTATGTTTTCTCCTTAAAACCTGCGCTCTTTACCAAAACCAGGGTCAGGTCTGTTGAGCTTTCAGGAGAAGATCTGCCATCTGCAGTTCCAGTCCTGAGCTGGTACCTTCCACCATTAGCTGATTGTGTTAGTATTTAGTGGAGTCAGCTGAGACTGAAATACCTTTATTAGCTGGAAACTCCCAGGATAAAAATCTCTCAGTGCTGCTGCTCCTGGGTTGCACCTTCACCGTCCTATGCACCTGGGTACTCAGCTGATCTCTACAGGTAGGTGGTTTGGGATGGTGGCCGAGGGACGGGTTTCAGAGCTCTGGGAAGGTATTGCCTGTGCTGATTCCTCATTGCCCCAGGGAGGAGGATGGGGATGGGCCTGTGTGCTTTGGGGTGAGGCACTAGAAAATTTTTAGGTTCCAGGAAAAGTTTTAGGCACTCTCCAGGAGTAAACCCTTTCCAAGAAACAAATGTCTTCAGGCCTTAAAAGTGCAAAAATGGAGAGATGTTTCTTCATTAGGGGAGAATCGGAAGCATTTCAGGTTTGTCCCAGCAGAGGTGCAACAGAGATGGGTCCCTGATCCTTTTTGCGGCTGAGTTTGCTCAGGTCACTTCCAAAACCAGCTTGTGTTTGGAAGACAGAGGGGAAACCTAAAGAAGAAGCCTTCTGATAAAACACAAGTCTGTAAGTGGAGGCAGGTTAATCCAGGCCTAATTTCTAGGGTTTACACTTTTGTAATCCTTTTGAACCCTGGACCTCCACCTGCTTTGTGGGACTGATCTGTCCCTGCTCAGCAGCTGAGCTCTGATCTCACAATTTAATTTCACGACTATCCTGGATGTCCGCTCGCTTTGCCGGACGGGCCGGGGGACCTGAAGAACACGAGTTTAAGAACAACAACGGAAGAAGTTTAAACTCCATCCAGCGCGTCCCGTTCCGGCAGTCCCCGCTCAGGGACCCCCGGCCCGGGGGCTCCGGGACCCTTTTCGGGTGCGATGGGGAGGGGAGCGGCGGGGCCGGGCCGGGGCAGCGG